AAATTCTCAAAAGAAATTATGCTGTCAAAATTTATTTGAGATCATGTCAGGTCAGGTTATCATGCTACTGGTAACATGTAATCCAGTACAACCTGTTTCATGCTCTGCTTCCTTGTAGGGTACGCTTTTTTAGGTAAAGACTAAGATGCTTAACACATCCCCTAACTTGGGGCTCTTGGTTGAGTAAAGGCTAAAGATGGTGTCTCTATAAAATACTCATCTTGGGCAGACGGCTTAAGGATATCTTTAGATATTGAGTACTATCTGTGCTTTGAGTCAAGTTAACCAATTTAAAAAATGACTAAAATACCAAAAACAATAAATCACAAAAAACCATCATCATCACTAAGTTCTCTAAATTTATCAATCACTAATATTTGTGGTCTTCAAATTAATTTTTCCTCTCTTGAGTCTTATCTCTTGCAAAGTTTACCAGACCTAATTGCTCTAGTGAACTAATTTGAGTTGAGCTGTTTCATCTTGTGATCTTAGTTTCGATGGTTATTTTCCTTTGATTCGTAAAGACTTCAATATTTATATGCTCATCACACTGAATTGCTTTGTTTTACTGTCAGTGACTCTTCAGATGTTAAGACCCACAATTTTTGCCTTTCTGAACCTTTAACACAAATAGTTAATTTTCTAACTTGCTTTCCAGACATTTTGAATCATTAATCTTCTCTACTCAACTTGTGCCTTGTTTCTGATCCTTGTCAGTGCTCAGTTTTGCCACATTCACCTTTAGGTGCATCTGATCGTGATTTGATCTCTCTAAAACTATTATCTTCTTCTACTTCATTATCAGATCCTGATGAAGAAGAAGAAGGCCCTTTTATCATCATTATTTATTATCGTATCTTCTAAAATCTTAAAGCTCATTAGAACTCTATCCGTGATTTTCTTTAAGATGGCCCTTGGGTAGAAATCTTTCGTCTTTTTGCTGAAAAATGTGCTTCTTATGTAAATTCTTGGATTCAGGCTGGCATGAAGTCTTTATTCCTTCTCGACAATTTTAAGTCAAGCCTCACTCTTTTCCATGGTTTTCCTTGCACTGTGCTGCTGCAATTTTCAACCGTAACCATTATTTTCATATCTATCGCCAAAACAATTCTCCAGAAAACAGAAGTCTTTTTACTATTGCTAGAAACCATTGTAAAAAATTTTTGTCTTTAAAAGACATTCGTATCTATATCTAATCATATCTAAAGTGGTTTTCTGCTTAGACTTTACTACAGTTTGTGAACCAATCAACATACCTGTTATAATCTTGCTGAAGTGTTCTCCGGAGCTGTCGTCTATACTTTCACAACTATTTAACAAGTGCTTATCTAAGTCTTGTTTTCCAGCCTGCTGGAAAGCGGAATCTGTCATCAATTTCAAAAATTCTGGAGAGCGATTTGACTAGTCTAACTACCGTCCCATTAGTCTTCTTCCTATCATAAGCAAGGTGTTTGAATCTTAATTAACAAATACTTAATCTCTCATCTTGAATCTAATAACTTACTTTCTGATCACCAAAATGGATTTCAATCTTCTCGTTCTACAGCTGATTTGCTAACAGTAATAACCGATAGGCTTTATCGTGCATTAGATAAAAGTGAAAAGGTGAAGGCCATCGCTCTTGACATTTCTAAAGCTTTTGATAAAGTTTAGCATGCTGGTCTTTTCTATGAGCTTTCTTCTTACGGTGTATCTGGTAACATCTTTAAGATTATTAACCCTTTCTTTCCAATTGTAGTTTTAAAGTTGTCTTCGATTTGACAATACTCCTCTTCATATTCTGTAACTTCAGGGGTTCCTCAAGGTTCTATCCATGGCCCTATACTCTTTTTAATTTATATTAACGATCATTCAAATATTCTTACATCTAAAGTGGCATTATTCGCTGACAATAATACCATTTATTCTTGTCTTGATAAGTAGCAAACACTCTCTGATTGCTCGAAGGGGGCATTTGAGCTTGAAAATGATCTTATTTCTGCTACAAAATGGGGCTCTCAGTGACTGGTGAACTTTAACTCAGATAAAACTCAATTTATTTTCAGCTAATGATGTTGTAACAATCTAGATCTTCATATATTTATGAGCGGTTAGGTACTCAATGAGTCATCTACCATTGGTCTTTTAGAATTAACTATTACTTCCAATCTTGCTTGGAAACCATACATCAAATTAACTGCAAAAGTAGCATCATTCAATCTTTAGAGCTTTTCTGCGATTCATGCCCTCGCCAAAACTAAATTTATATATTAGTGCATTTATTTTCTCATGAAAAAAAAAAGATTGACTTCATTAAAATTTCTAGAACGCAGACATTGTAATATGTAATAGAACTACTGAAAGACTGAGCAGTCGTGACGCAGTGGTAGCGCACTTGCCTCAGAAACAAAGGATCCGTGGTTCAAAATCCACCTCTGGGCAAGTTTTGCGACATTGGTTAGGAAGGAGGCGTAAGCTTCCGATTAGCACTGCTCATCCGCAGTGCTCTGTGATAAGACCGTAAGGACTTCTTGGGGCATCAAAAAAATATATATATATAATAAAGATATGGGGTTATTTGCAAAAAACCAACAAGTATTTCATCAGATTTCATTAGAACATTTAAAAAGACTCGTAAAAGACCGCCTACATTTGATACTGTAGAATAAAAAAAAATATATAAAATGTAAAATTAGTTTTATAAGACATTTTATAAAAATAAGTTTCTGCTTCCAACTTGTCCTCTTTGTGAAATTTGTTTTAGAAGAGACTCACATGACATTGTATTTGATTGTAGTTTGTAGAATGGATTATTTCTAAAAATATATTTTAAAAAAATAGGAAAAACCCTAGAAAATATTAGATCCCAATAATAACGAAGTACAGAGACTACAGTCATTAAAAAGACTACAGGCATTAAAACAGTTTACATCCAATACTTAGTTTTACGATTTCTACCTTACAATCAGTATAATGTCAAGTTATTTCATGAAATTATTTCCGAATGATAAATAGACGTCTTTTTTTATTTAATATTTTTTTTCAGAACAGCAGAGCTATTAAAAAATCTCACTAAAAAAGATCTAATAAGTGAAACTTGTAATTTTCGTTAATTATGTATCAATAAAACAATAATAACGTTTTACTTGTTATTTTTAACTGAAAAGTTTTTATCGAGAGTAATTTTTAACTGAAAAGTTTAAGAAAATATAATTTGAAAAGCAGAAGATTTCAAAAAAAAAATTATTAATAAGAAAAGAGCGAACAAAGGATTCTGAACTTTAGTCTGATAATATGGTATCATATAGGTGGTTTCTGCGAATGCTTACTAAAGGCTTATTTGTACCAAATATAATAGTTGCTGAAAAATATTATAAGTATGGAATAAAGAAAAGCTTCAGAATTAGGAACAAATTCAAAAAAAGAAGAAAAAGTAACCGTAGTGTGCATCAAGTAGACTAAACATTCAAAAAGAAAATTAAGTTTATATGGTATCTTATTTGTTTTGAAAATAATATAAGGATAAGAATTGTCAAGTATAAAATAGGGCGCTGATAATCAAATATATATGATACATATAACATAAAGATTTGTTAGCATTAAATTAACAAAAAATTCGCTTTTAGATATTTAAATCTAACTGTATCATTATATCAGTTTGATTTAAATATCTGAAAGTGAGTTTTTAGTTAATTTAATACTAAGATATCTTTGTTTTAGACTGTGTATGAGAGACTACTTTCTTATATTTAGTAGTATTTTAATATTTAAAATGTCTACAAAATTTGATATCATTCTTAAAAGTATTATACAAGTGCATGTAAACATGAATTAAGTAAACTTAAATTTATGTTTGTAATTTGTTCAATTGGTATAAGCAAAGATAAAAATTTTAATGCAAAGGCGAATTACAAAGCTAATGTATTTCTTAAAATTTGAATCAGTTTTGACTGCCTTTACCCCCATTCTAAACCCATTGATATAATGCGTTAGTTGCTTTCATGATGTTCATAGCAGCCATCGATCTAAAAATTCATTTTATTGGTAATTTGATAAATGATAAAGAACATCATTACGCTCTCCAACTTTTAGGGATGATTAATGCAGACACCATCCAAAGAAGTGAATTTGTAAAGAGATTTCCCATTAATAGTCCACTAAACTGTGAAGAACAATATCGCTTAGATTACTAGATTACATCAACATAGCAGCCAGGCAGAGGCAAAGCTAGCCTAAACCACACACTCCAATTAGGGGAAAGGGGTCAGCAAACTTGGGGGGCCCTTTTGCAAATTTAGAGACTCTTGCAAATTTAAGGAGCTTTTTTTTGAAGTAACACTTTGTGGAAAAATATTTTAGATTTTGGGGCCCTAATTAAAGGGTTGTTGTCTTTTTCTGGTGGGGGGGGGGGGGCTTCAATCCATTATCCACGGCACTGCAGCTAGGTTTAGCCTCTTCAGTGCATGCTACTTTATTAACTTATATTTTTTCAAGATATATCATAAATTAAGAGTTGCGTTATCAAAATAAATAAACATATATAAGAGATACTTGTTTTATTTTTTTTACATATAGTTATTAATAAACTTATATCCCATGAAAACTTGTAAAAAAACTCAATCATTTTATAAAAAATAAGAAATTGGTGTTTTATGAAAATTCAAAATATACAAAAAAAAGGCTACGTTAGGAAGCCACACGCACGCTCTAATAGGGAATAAAAAAAAATGTATCCGTGGTAAAGAACTTAAAGAAACATCTATTACCAAAATGTTAAAAAAAAAAAAAATGAGTGTTACAATGCTTCTTCCCTATTCGTGTTTTGTTTATCTTTAAAATATTTGTTTTTAAGAATATTTATCGAACTTACAGAGGGAATTCACTGAGTATGATACTGTTTAATGCTTTAAAAAAATTATATTATAATAAATTAAAACTAGCGTAAAAATTTCGTACTAAATAAAAAGCAATAAAAAAATTAAAACTATAAAACTGCAATTTTTGAAAGCAGCGAAAAATTATTAAATGATTTCATTATTATTATTAGTTAATGCCATGTTACCATGTTTTTTTTTGCTTCGTACCACGTATTGAAGAATTTAAAGATCTCATAAGATCCAAGGCATGCTGACAGGTGATCCTTGTTTATATATACATTCAAATATAAACTGTTTTCATCAAATAATGTCAATGAAGATGTTCAACAAATAAAAGCAACGATAACAAAAGGTCGAAAAATCTAAACATTTCAATAGATGCTATTTCCTTGTTTTCAACTAGTTTATTCAGAATTACATAATATTGATTTTTTTAATTATTTAATTTTATTTAATTATAAAAATTTAATTTAAGTATAATAATTTAATTATAAAAAAAAGTTATTCAGAATAAATTCACTTTAATAAATTAAATTTATTTGTATTTATATATTAAAAAAAACTTACATTGTTTTTCCTAAAAACTATTGTATGAGATATCTGCTTTCGTCATGCACTATAAAAAACTAATATATAAAATAATGATTTTATAAAATTTACACACAGATGTATAAATTTTTTAAAAGTATTATCTTTTTATTAAAAATTATACAGTTTACATGAAGAATATTTCATTTCTAAACAATCGAAAATAAATTAAAAATAAGCTTTTTATGCTAAAATATTATTTGTTATTAATATGACGATACGTTTATGAAATTTTTGTTTCAATGTATTTAATTATGTTGAAAATTATGTACTTAAGTATTTTCAGAGTACGACTCCGCCTCCAACTCCAAAGCAAAATTTTTGAAAAATTCGGGTTTATAGTCTCAGTTCCGTTCCGTAAATTATCACAGATAATTATATGTAAGATAAATATTTCATAAGTTAGATGAATATTTCGGACTTAAGTAAGTGATAAATTTGGTAAGGAAAGATATTTAACGTTAAAAATATTTTATATCAAAGTAATATCAATGTCATATTCTGCTTCTCAAATTTTATCTCAAATCTTCTCAAATTCTAGAAATGTTTACTTTTCTAAACAATTTTGAGATAATTTGCGGAACGGAACTGACACTATAAATCCGTGTATTCTTTAAAAATATTACGCGATAATTTAAAAAATATCTTTTTTCCAAATATATGAAAAAGTTCTTTGAAGGTTAAACATTTTGTAGATATTTTTTAAAGGTTAAATATTTTGTAGACATTTGAAGGTTAAATATTTTGTAGATACGTGCAATACCGAGAAGTTTTACTATTGGAGTCGGAGTAGCGATTTTGTTTAGCGACTCCGCTAAAAATATCACGACTCCGACTCCACAGCCCTGATTATAAAGGAGAAGGGGGCAGCTTTGATAAAATGAATTTGTGAAGCGTTTATGAATTTAAACTTAATATAATTAAATATTTTGTGAAAATACATTGTATTATAGCATTATGTATTATGGTATTATGTACGCTCATAATTGTCACTTGTCTATTAGATATTAGATACAAATTGAAGATCTATATGATTGGTTTGTTTTTGAGGATAAATTGTAAAAATTTTGTATGGAAAAATCATCGTTTATTAACAATGATGCTGTCGGGGCAGTATTGAACATTATGAATGGACCACTTTTGATTCATTTTTTAGCTTTTCCGCACTATAAAATAAAATTTCATTATTACGGTTATACTCTGATAATTTAAAGATGGTTCGAAATTGGTTCGAAACTATAAGAAAAAGAGAGAAACAAATTCAAGAGGGAGATATTAACAATGCTGTTCTCCAAGTTGTAAATGGGTTTTTCAAGCGGAACCGGGCTGCTAATACTTATAATATAAAACGTAATACTTTACAACACCGAATAAAGAAATATAAACAAGATTTATTATCCAAGACCAAGCTAAGGTTCACAACTAAGTATACTTTTTCACAAGTATTTAATAAAGATGAGACGTTGAAAGCCTACCTTATAAAAAGCTATAAAAGAAATTTTTTGGTTAGGCATACAAACAAGCAAGGTAATTAACATTTCAATAAAAATTATGTCCGGTTATATGGAGAGAAAACAAACAAGCTGGTATAGAGTGGTTAAAATTTGTCTCGTTCAATAAGTTTCAATCAGCACAATGTAAACCAATTTTTTGACAGATTTTAAAAAAACATTTTCATTTCTGATAGAATTTATAATATTGATGAAACCAACATAATGACAGCACTACAATTGCTCAATTTTATGGAAAAAAACAAATGAGACAGTGTGTGTCTGCTAAACGTGGGCAGCTAATTAATATGTGTGGTATAGGAAATGCCATCAGAAATTTCATTTCACCTGTGTTTATATTTCCAAGAGCAAGGTTTCATGATACCATGATAAGAGGAGGGCCTCCTGGTTGTATAGGATATGCAAACAGTCCAATAAGTGGCTGGATGACAGGGAAATTGTTTTTAAAAGTTTTAGAACATATACAAAAATTAGTTAAATGTTCAAACAATGATATAGTTTTACTCTTAATGGACATTCATGAATACCATTGTCCATTAGATGCCATCCATTATTATTGTGAAAATGGAATGGCAGTTTTAACATTTCCTCTCCACTGCACTCATTGTATATAACCTGTAGAGGTGGCAGTTAATGGTTCTTTTAAGCAAAAATCATCAACGTGTCAGAATAATTGGCTTTTATCTAATCCCGGGAAAACAATAACAATACATGATTTAGTTGTCATATTGACACCAGCATATACCACTAAATATATTGCCAGGAATATTATTTCTGGTTTTTCCACAACTGGAATATATCCTTTTTCATGAAATGCTTTCATGACAATGATTTCTTATTTGCCGAAGTAACAAATTGTCCTCTGACAGAAACATTTAGTATATCTAACTGTGAGGATCTTCATAAAGTTGTTATACATCAGGGCTCTAGTACATCTGATAGCATATTTGTTAAAAAACAAGATGATATGGTTGATTGCCAAAACCATAAAAACCAATACCCTACAATCAAACCACACTATAACACCTGAATCCATAAGACCATTTCCAAAAGCTTTACCTCGCAAAAAAACAAATAAAGGCAGAAAAAGTGGCAAATCTAAGATTTTCACTGACACTCCAGAGAGAGAAGAAATACAAAAAATTTATCTTTTACTCAAGACAAAACTTGAAAAATCTAAGGGAACTTCAAAGCAAGAAACTT